GTAGCTTGGGCCTTTATGCTCGAAGCAGGGACTTGTATGTCAGTATTTTAGATTTTAGTCCCAGGAGAAAGATAATGCAAGTGATTGGTTCAAATCCCAGATAGGGAAAGAACAAATCTAAAAGAGCTGGGATTCAAACCAGCAATTGTAATTCTTCTGTGGATATGTCTCGATCCTGCCTGGGTAGACCTGGGCTGCAATGATGGCAAATGGGATGCATCAATCAGATGCTGAGGACACAGGGTAGGCAAGCGATACACCTTTTCCACCCTAGAGGCCTCCAGTTTCCCATCTCTCTCCTTAGGATCACCATGGGAAATTCACCTTCAGGTCTTTGGACTCTATACTACAACGCAGCCCCAAGGATTGGAATGAGGGGCTGGATAGATGGCTCATCAGTAAAGCATGCTTGTTGTTAAGAGGACCAGAGTTTGGTGTCCAACATCCATGTTGGGTGGTTCACAAACACCTGTAACACCAGTTACAGGGGATCTGATGACCTCTTTTGACCTCTGTGAGCACCTACACACACACACACACACACACACACACACACACACACACACACACACACACACACAGAGTAAAATCTTTAAATGAGTTTGATCCTGAAATATAAAGGGAAATAGGCTAATATTTTACTGTAACAACTTCTGGACTCAGTGGAAAAATGAAGGATGGAAACTTAAACCATAGCACCATCTTATCTATCGCCAGGCTTATTTTATAAGAATAAAGGCAAATGTGCCTTATATCCAGACCTTCATGACCCTCTTCCAGGATGAGGGGCGGGGCAAAGAAACAAGGAAACAAAACAAAAGACAGGCATCTCTGGAAGGGTAGAGGCCGCATGTGCTTCCAAAGGAAAGACCTCAAAACAGCGCACTTGAACCACCCAGCAGGGCCGTGTCTAACACATTACTCTCTAGATGCCTAGCCCTGGAAGGTGGTTTGTCCCTGTTCCCAGAAAAGCAAGATACCAACCCTAATACAATCCCCTAAGGTACCTGACGAAGTAGAGCAGTCAGAAAACCAAAAGGCAGTCCACAGACTCCCCAGGAGTTAACCTCGCTCCCTCCGAAAGTGCAGCTGGAACCTCTTCTATCTTGCTAATACAATGTGTCATGTGTGTTCACAATCACTTTCATGTCACATTTACCATTCATTCTCTGTTAGGATGGATGTATCAAAGCTCAGTCTTCCTAGAATTCGCCTGAATAACTGGGTCATAAAACCTGGGGCTACTTCATGCTTTCTTTTCCCTTTTTAATTGCACACTAAAATTATTACTTTTGTTATGCCTAATTAAAAACATGCATACACATGTGTGTGGATGAGAATGTTTTAGGGATGTATTAAAAGGCCCAATCAGAACAACACAATTTTATAGACTTGGGCCCTCTTTCTTTTCTTTTCTTTTCTTTTCTCTCTTTTTTTTTTAAGACCGAGTCTCCTTATGTAGTTATCTGGTTGTCTTGGAACTCACTATGTAGATCAGGCTGGCCTCAAACTCAGAGATATATCTGCCCCTGGCTCCTGAATGCTGGAATTAAAGGCATGTGCCACCACTGCCTGGCTTTCTTTTTATTTTTTAAACCTGAATATTAGAAAATTTAGAATTATGTGTATTATTTTGTGTTGGACAATGCTAAAGTAGACATTTTGGCTATTCTTCATGCTGTCTGAGATTTTGGCAGCAGGCAGCAGTAACATAGGACGTCTACCCATGAAGCATATAAATGACTGGTCTTTTCCAGGGATCTCAGCCACAGAAGTTGCCCTGTGTTTCTGGGGTCAACTTTAGAGGAACCTAAGCTTGTTTTCCAAGCTTCAGCAGGTGGTACTCTAATTTGGCTTCCCCAGGATAGCCAAATCCCAAATTAAAGACAGACAGCAGTAGCTATTCTTTGAGGATTCCCAGTTTCAATTTTGTAACCTTTATAAGTAAACCACCATCTGGACATTATGTTTTTTCTACCTTCGTAGCTTTTCTACTCAGATGGAGCCATGTAACCATAATATATGGTGTCCTCAATATCTGAAAAATTAAGAAAAATTTACTTGGGTGGTGGTAGTGGTTGTGTGTGTGTGTGTGTGTGTGTGTGTGTGTGTGTTTATGTGTGTGTGAAATGGCATGCCTGTGGAGTTCAGAGGACAACTTTAGAAAGTTGATTTTCTCCTTTCATCATGGAATCAAATTCAAGTTGTCAGACTTGTGTAGTCAATAGTTTCACCCAGTACTTTACCTGTGGAGCTATCTTGCCGGCCCCCTTTATACAAATTTTATAGTGTAGAAGTATATATGAGTCAGTCTATCCTGCCTCCTTCCCTCCTCCCCTCCCTTTCTTCCTTCTTTCCTTCCTTTTCTCCCTCCCTCCTTCTTTCCTCGTCCTGCTTTTTGAATAGGCTCTTGTTTTGCCATTCTAAACATAGAAGGTTTACTTAAAAGGTTACAAAAGCCTAACTTTTCATAGGGAGAGCTGAACAAATGTCTATTCACTCCAGATCAGTGATAGACCAAAGAACTGATTCTACCCAAGTCTAGTTTGTTGAGTTTATTTGGGGTTGCCTACAGAAACATGAGCAACTTATGGGGAGCCAGACTAGAGTATCCCCCCACAGCAATTATTAATCACTTATTTATTCTCAGGGAAGGGCCTCATGTGTCCTTTGAACCTCAAGGGCCATTTTTATGAGGCGATGTTAGTGGGTCCAATCTTGTGAGGGTCTCCTATGGGCAATCACAACTGCTCTGATTTCAAGACAGCAAGAGGCACATCACACTTGGAATAGTGTTCCTCAACAGCCTGGCTGGCCTGTATTCACTATGTAGCCCAGGCTAGACTCAGATTCATGGCAATCTGCCTGCTTCAGCCTCCCAAGTGCTAAGCCACGTGTGTCAAATCACTTCCCAGGTGTAGATACAGGTGGCTTGTCAATTACTTAACCTTCCTTGGTTCTAGCTGTCAATACATAGAATGTTGGTGTTAAGATGAGTACGGAGAGAGCTCCAGGGGCTCACAATGCCCTTAATTAAGCCTTAACCTATTAGAAATCACCACAGCATCGTGTTCAAGTTTGCCTGCAGGTCTCCATTCCGTCTCAGTGCACAGGGCTACCCAAGTGCTCTGCTCTGCCATTTACCACGTGGGTGGTAGAATTAATCCTTGAATCAGAGTCAGCTGAGAAATGTCAGGTGGAAGGATGCTGCTGTCTTTCGTCAAGTGCTTTTTAGTGATTTGTCTAAAACGGGAGCACTCCTCCAGGCAGCAATTCTCGAATGCCAGAATGCTTTGAATTCCTTACATTACAGAAAAGGGCTCAATGGAGTCTATTCACTTATGCGTTTTGGGCTTTTGTCTTTTGGAATGTCCCAAGATATTTCGAAGAGGGGGCCCAACTCCTGCATTCCTGCAATTGGCTCCAGTAGCAAGTATATTTTCTGAAGTTCTGGCCTCCTGACAACTTCAGTCTCAACTTGGGAGCAAAGTGCCCTGATGCACACTGTGTGCTTTGAACAAACCATCCCCCTGGCCTTCCTTCACTACCTGCTACGGATTTCTATACTTACTTAGAGGGAAACTTACACAATGTCCAGAAACCTTGATGTTCTACAAATCTAGTAGGGGAATGTTTTCAAACTCTTTAGAGTGGGAATTCAGTACCTCTATACAGGAAAAATGATAGTACCTATCTCATAAGTCTGAGGAGACCACGGGAGAAGCTTCTGCTAGCTGCTCAGTTGCCACTGAAAGTCTGCTGATGTCAGTGCCATTGTCTCCAGGAATGCTGACCAGGCTGTGCTGAACTTTGCCACTGACATGGGAGTCACTCATATTCTGGCCACTTCACTCCTGAGACCTTCCTTAACCAGACCAAGGCAGCCTTCTGGTGGTGATGGATGCTGGGGCTCACCATTAGCCTCTTGCAGAGGTGTCTTATGTCAATCTACCCCACCATTGCTCTGAGTAACACAGATTCTCGTCTATGCTGAGTGGCAGTTAGGATCCCATGAAACAATAAAGCAGCTCACGTAGGGGGTCTGACTGGATGCACACCCTAGAATTTCTCTAAGTGAATGGTGAATGGCATCATCTCATGTGAACATCTGTTAGGCCATGGCTAATCTCGACTTCTACAGAGACCCTGAGAAGGAAGAGCAAGCTGGCGCTGAAAAGGCTGTGACCAGGGAAGAGCTTCAGCAATGTTATACCCAGATTGTGACCCCCCAAAGAGACCACCGAAGACCTTGGATGTCCAGAATGCAACAGCAAGGTTTATTCTGCAGATACAAGTCTAGACAGGGACTCATTCCTACACCCAATACAGTGAGGCAGGGAGGAGTCCCTCTTTCTTGGGGAAGTTAGTTTTTATAGGCAAAACCCATAAAATTTCTTAGAGGGGAGGGGGTTAGTACGGGTCCATCCTTGATTGGTCCAGTTTTTCCCGGGCCTGGACTTTATCTTATTCTAGCTTATCTGTTTGCCCTGTCAGGAGTTTTACAACTCCTCTCCGGGGTCTGGTCATGTTATCTCCGGAGAGGGGCATCTTGTGGTTAATTGGTTACCATCAGACATCCTGACTCTGTTCTTTTGTTCCTGGGGCTGGTGCCATCATTTCTGGGGACTTGGAAACTGGCCTGGGTCTATCTATATTGAGATATCTTTGTCTAAGGCCCCCTTTTTGAGACAATAGAGTGAGGGTCTTGTTGTGCCTAGATCACGTCCCCAAAGCCGCCACTGGAGACTTTAGGTACAGAATGCAAAAGCAAGGTGTTTTCTAAGTTTACAAGCCTCTAGGGAGGCTCTTCCAAATCTCTCACTCACAGCAGGGAGGTTGGAAGGAGCTCTCCCCTTTCTTTGTGAGGCTAGTTCTTAAAGGCACAGACCATATAATTTATTTTAACCTGTCTTCCTTTTTAGTCTTTTGGTCGAATATCCTGACTGTGTTTTCCAAAGTCCCTGTAGCAGATACAGCCACCCGGGGAAAAGGGGTCTAAGTTCTTATCTACACTTACGAATCCTGGTTTAAGCTTCTCTTTGTCTGTGGGGGATAGAGTGGGGGGTTTTACTGAGGTATCACACATGACTGGACCTCACCAGGTTCCTGGTTCCTCAGCCTGAGGAGGCAGATGGCCTGAAGGCACCCAGGTGCCCTCTGTGCCCATGCAGCAGTTCCCAGGCACAGAGGCCAATGAATGCATAGGGACAATACTTCATGGCAGGAAGCTGCTCTGCAGATACCCAGGCAAGATGGAAAAGATCAGTTTCTGAAAGCAAAGCAAAAGCAAATGACAACAGTAAGCAAACTCCTCCCTCTCACAGGGTGACTTCCTGCCTGCTGTTACAAGGTGCAAACTCCTCCCTCTCACAGGGTGCCTGCCTGCCTGCTGTTACAAGGTGCAAACTCCTCCCTCTCACGGGGTGACTTCCTGCCTGCTGTTACAAGGTGCAAACTCCTCCCTCTCACAGGGTGACTTCCTGCCCGCTGTTACAAGGTGCTTTTTTCCTGTTCTAGTGCTGTTAGGTGGTGTCTGTAGGTTTAACAGTTTCCTAAAACTGCTGTATCAAGCTATTGTAATATACCTGGCTTAGAACTACAGAACTGTGGGGTTAGGGATGCATCTCCAAGGCTGAATGCTTGCCCAGAATTCTCTAGGTCATGGTTTCTTGTCCTTAGCACTGGGAGTGGGGGTAGAAATGGAGGTTGGGAGGTGGAGGCTGAGCATGTTGGTACATAGCTATAATCCCAGCATTCAAGAGGATCAGAAGGTCTATACAGCAAGTTCAAGGCCAGCTTTGACTCCATGAAATACTTTCTAAAAATAATAATAATAGTAATAATAATAATAAATAGGAAGAAAGAAGGGGGAAAAAGAATCATTAAAATAATGCCCCTCCTCACAATTATTCTCCTCACGGTTCCAGTGTGCAGATGGACAGAATCAGTGTCAGTAGCAGCGCATGCCCCAGAAAGCCGGACAGGACAGTGTGTGTGTGTGTGTGTGTGTGTGTGTGTGTGTGTGTGTGTGTATAATCTCTATCTATCTATCTTCATCATCATCATCATCATTATCTATCTATCATCTATCTATCTATCTATCTATCTATCTATCTATCTATCTATCTTATGTGCCTCTCCTAATTTTTGGGGGCACCAACCATCATTTGCATACCTTTGGCTGTGGCTACCCTACGTCTGTCTCAGTCTTCATATCATCTTCTTTCCTGAGGTCCAGTGTCTTCCCTTATCAAGACAACAGTCTAGGGGTGCACCCTAAATTCAGGGTGATTTCATCTCAAGAGCATTAACTTAATTTTATCTGCCAAGGTCCAGTATCCAAATAAGATCACATTCACAGGTATTGGGAGTTAGGACTCATGCATATCTTTCTGAGAGATAATATTCAGTCTATAAAAGCTGAAAAACAAAACCAACAAAAAACTGTCATTTGAGTAAGCAATATGCCTGATTCTTTGCCATTGAAGGCATTCCCAGGTCTCTCATTTGAATAGTTTAATTTCTGGAAACAGTGCAAATTCTTCTTTCCAGCTGCCCCTAACTCAGGTATTTAAACTGCCAGTGGCACAGAGCCCCCTTATTGTGTGGTGTAGCCTTACCCCTTCCGTAGACAGGATGCCTATAACAAAGGCTGGAAGGTAGTGCCTGTCCACCGAGGCTCATTCCCTGTTAATGTTTTTTTTTGTTTTTTGTTTTTTCTTTTAGAAAACAAACAAAACAGAATTAGTCATTTTATTTTCTAGGACAGTGACATACTTCTCTTTTAAAAAGTATGATATTTAGTATGGGAAAGAATAAAGAACATGACAGCATTGAACGGCAAAACTACATCTTTAGGCATTGTGATGGAGCAGAGGAAAGTTTACTTAGAATTCTATTTCTTTCTCTCTCTTTTATTCATTTCCACTGTTAGGGCAGCTTACTAAAATAACCACAAAACATCTCCGATATCATTTCCACAACTGAGAGTGAAACCGTGGTCCAATAACACGCCTACTCCTCGATGCTTGCTTAGCATATGGCATGAATCACCCTTTGCAGCTTGTAGGTTGGCAACAAGTCTGTTTTAGCCCAGGTCCCTGGAAACTCTTACTGGAGTTCCCAGTAAAAGAATAGTAACAATAGTTGAAGTCATTCCACAGTAGGAAGTCAGCTATCTATCAAAATAGCAGCGGGGGGGGGGGGGGGGCACTGCCTATAGAGGGTTTCCTCCTATAAACTGGATACTCTGGATCTCTGGTCCACTCACTCTGGGAGAGACAGATACATGGGAGTAGGCACAGACTTTTGATCTTCTTTTAGGCCAACTTGGGCCGTGTCTGCTCTACAATTCTATACTGGATAATTCTCAAGAAGGATGGCAAACAGGAAAGGGCTTGAGAGACAAGCTGTTAACTCTGTACAGAGACCTATTATCTCATTTCAACTGGAAACACCAGAGATGCTCCAGTGATAAAAACCAAAAACAACCAATGGCCTTCAAGACAGCAACAAGCTTGTGTTTTCCTACACCTAGCAGGACTCCACCACAGATGCCTGTAAGTGCACCAGTGAGGTGAAAAGGAACAAAAACAGATATCATTTGGTTTATAAGGCAAGGTGGTTTGAATGAGAAGGGCCTCCATAAGCTCATATACTTGAAAGCTTGGCCCCCAGTTGGTGTAACTGTTTGGGAAGGACTAGGAGGTGTGGCCTTGTTGGAAGAGATGTGTCACTGGGGGTGAGGCTTTGAGGTTTCAAACAGCCCACACCATTCCCAGTTAGCTTTTAAGATGTCAACTCTGAGCTACTGTTCTAGGCCACACCTGCCTGTCTTCTTCCCTGCTCTTTATCATGTTAGGTCATAGACCCTTACTGTGAGTCCCCAAATTAAATGCTTTCTTTCATAAGTTGCCTTGATGATGGTGTTTTGTCACAAGAAATAGTAAAGTAACTAAGACACAAGGGAAAAATCTTTGTCACTGGTAAATATACAAGCCAGCATGTCTGTATTAGCTTTCTCTTACTGTAACCAAACACCCAAGGAAACCAGTTCAGGGGCAGAAAGTTCATTTTGGTTAATAGCTTCAGAAGTTTAAACTCAGGATTGGTGGTTCAAACTATGACTTCCAATCCAAGGGTTAAGTCCCTGAAGGATGCTTAGTTTATCTGGGTGTCTGAAATTGATGTCTAGGACTAAGGACATTTCTTTAATTTTCTTTTGAGATGCATTTATTTTATTATTTGATGTGTATGAGTGCTTTGCCTGCATGTATGTATGTGTACCATGGGTGTGCCTGGTGTCCATGTCAGTCAGAAAAGGGTCTCATATCCCCTGGGTCTGGAGTTACAGGTGGTTGTGAGCTACCAGGGGCTCTTAACACTGAGCCAACTCTCCAGCCCCAAAGGGTATTTCTTGTATAATGAACTCATCTAGACATCTTGCATCTTTTCTAAGATTTTGTTCCATTTGATAATCAGAAACGTTAAGCTTGTATTGGTGTGTGAGATGAAAGATTCCAATTTATAAACAACCCAGAGGCTACTGGTGAATCACTAATCTAGCAGCAAGCCCAATTCTCCTCTCAAAGGGAGTATGATTCTTAGTTGCTGAAGGCATTGTCTTAGTTGAAAATCCAGAATATTTTTTCTGTAGTTTTCCTTATAGGAGCTGCCTTGGCTGCTTGCCTGTGTTCATAAATCACCTTGGCGAGAGAGGGAGAAATTGCAGATATAAATTCTTATTTATATAGCCAAAGGGTCATGTTGGGACTCAGAAAATGATTCCACGAAGCACTGTATTTTGACATGTTGAGAATCTGACCTGATGGAGAATGGAAGTCCTCCATGATCTTCTCATGGCATCTGTCTCCTGCTGCCTCTTTCCCTGAGCTCCTCTGAAGCAACTCACAGAAACCACAATTCTTTTCTAACACAAAACATAGAAATTACAGGGTGGGGAGATGACTCAGTAGTTAAGAGCATTCCTTGCTCTTCCAGGGGACCCAGGTTCTATCCCTCCACACATATTGGGTAGCTCACAATCACCTGTAACTTCACCTCCAGAAGGATTTAATGCCTCTGGCTTCTGTGGGCATTCACACTTATATGCACATATCATCTACACACACCCTGCACTCACATGCACATATTTACACACACACACACACACACACACACACACACACACACATATGTACACACACACACACACACACACACACACACACACACACACACACAACATACACACATACATTTCCAAGTTGTTGGGCTGGGGTGTGGCTTAGTGGCAGGCCACTTGTCTAGCATGCTTGAGGCTTTGGGTTTTATCCTTAACACTGCAGTCAACCAACCGACTAATCTGTCAACCAGCTAATGGGTGTGGTGGTGAACACTTACTCCAACACTCAGGTGTCTGAGACAGGAGGATTTTGAGCTTGAGGCTTGAACTACACAGCAAGACTCTATCTCAGAAACACAGAAACAGGGTTGTAGATTTAGCTCAGTTAGTGTGCTTAGGGCCCTGGGCTCAATCTCCAGCACCAGCATAAACTAGGCTTGGTGGTACACACTTGTAATCCAAGTACTTGGGTGGTGGAAGCAAGAGGATCAGATGTTCAAGGTCACCCTTGACTGAACAGTGAGTTTAGGGCCAGCTCCAACTACATGAAACCTTGTCTCAAACAACTCTTAGTTCATTAGGTTTAGATGGCTCTGGTAGTCTGGGGTCCAACATGGGCAAATCGAAGTACGATATAAATAGGAAAAAACAAAAATTTCACAATAAAAAATCAGTAATAAACCTTTAAGTAGCGACTTTCCACTTTAACACTGCTATGTATTCCACGCTAGTCTCCAACTGACGATCTTCCTACTCCAATGTGTACCAGATAATCACATTCACCAATTTCGGAGACAGGGCACTGAAGGCATTAGGTAGGAACCAGAGTCAGCCTCCATTAAATAACAGACAAGGGAGTACTTATTCTAACCCACAGCTGAGCTATTCCCCACGAAGCCCAAACTAGGACAACACAAACCAATGGGAAGAAATAGCAATATACGAAGCCAGAGGCTAAACCTGGAAAATATCAGAGGATGCCCCGCCCAGCCCGCCTCCACACAAAGCCCTGCCTTCGGCCTTTAGCAGAACATTCCAAACTTCCTAGGCCTCCGCCCAGCGTGGGGCTCAGCAGCGTTTGGAAGTCTTAGGTTATGCCTTATCCCTTTAACCCCCTACCTCCACCAGCACACAACCTTTCTTTGATCACACGAAGCATGGATGAAAATCTCAGTAGCTCGCCCTTTGCTGTGGCAGAGCATAAGCCTAAAAAGAGGCCCACCAGGGAGATGGGCAAATGTAGAGCTCAAACTCATGGGGGAAAAGGGGGCTTGAGGGGGTACCTCTGGGCCAGCCTGCTTCCCCCGTAGATCCCTGGGCGGAGCCCTCAAAAAAGCCCCCTTCGGACATCCCGCCCCCTGCTCGGCCTCCTCCTTCTCCCACCAGGGGAGATGCCAACTCCGCCCGGCTGAGTCACGGCCTGAGCTGGGGAGGAGGCGGAGAAAGGCGGCCCTAGCCCAGATCGCAGCCGTCGGCCGCAGGGAGAGCAAACAGGGTTGTCAGAGATCATGGGGGAGAGCGCGCTGGAGTCGGGGCCTGTGCCCGGGGCGCCGGCCGGGGGTCCGGTGCACGCCGTCACTGTGGTGACCTTGCTGGAAAAGCTGGCCACCATGCTGGAGGCGCTGCGGGAGCGTCAGGGTGGCCTGGCTGAGAGGCAGGGCGGCCTGGCGGGCTCGGTGCGCCGCATCCAGAGCGGCCTGGGCGCGTTGAGTCGCAGCCACGACACCACCAGCAACACACTGGCGCAGCTGCTGGCCAAGGCGGAGCGCGTGGGCTCTCACGCGGATGCAGCCCAGGAGCGGGCGCTGCGCCGTGCAGCTCAGGTGCAGCGGCTGGAGGCCAACCACGGGCTGCTGGTGGCGCGCGGGAAGCTGCACGTCCTGCTCTTCAAGGTCAGTGACCTTAGGCACCCCTTAGTCCCCGCCTCTAGGCCACCACATAGGGGTTCTCCCGTCTTCCACCCGTCCACCATCTCAGTTGTGGAACAAACTCTCAGAGCCGCACCCACTTCTCACTTCCCACAGCGGGCCTTATTCCTCTCTCACTCCCAGCCTGGCCAATCCACGCCTTCCCTGCTATAGTTCAGGTCAATCCGCAGATTTGCTCAGTCCCAACCACATGAAAATAACGGTTGTGGCGTTTCTGTGCCTCCTCCAAGCGCCCATACAGCTGTTGTCTTGTTTCACACCTTAACAGGGTTTCATCTCCTTTGCAGACTTGCACAGCCCACTCTCCCCCTCCCTGCTCATCCCTCTTCTCCTCCGGGTCCCATCTTCCCATTCCTCTCATTTGGCTCCAATTCCCCGTGCAGAGGCAAAGGGTGGAGTAGCTTCCTTTGGTGTAACCGCGGGGAGAGTTTCAGGCTGGTCCTGGCTAAGTGCCCGCCAGAATCAAAGCTGTGTCGTCACATTCAGGAGGAGACTGAAATCCCAGCCCGCGCCTTCCAGAAAGCACCAGAGCTCTTGGGCCCCGAGGACCAGTCCGTGCTGGGCCCAGAGCAACCAGAGGATCAAATTGAAGAGAGTTCAGACGAGGAGCCGGTGGAGTCCCGGGCTCAGCGGCTGCGACGCACAGGCTTGCAGAAGGTACAAAGCCTAAGAAGGGCTCTTTCCAGTCGTAAAGGCCCCGAAGCTGCCCAACCCACACCAGTCAAGCCGCCACGTCTGGGGCCTGTCCGGAGCTCGGAAGGCCCACCAGATGGCCAGCCTGCAGCTCAGCCGGCTGCACTGGAGTCCTCACTGGAGTCTGCCCTGGAGCCAGAACCTCCTCAGGCTACCAAGGAAGATCCTGGGAGGCCCGTGCTTCAAATAGAGAGTGCAGCCTGATCACTGGAGCTGCCTGCCCCACTCGGTGCTTATGCCTTGTCCCAAAAATAAATCCTTAAAGCGTGCAGCACTTACACCCAAATAAGGAGAAAATCCTGCATCCACCGCCCCGTTGCGATCCTCCCCTCCCGGCCTTTCAGTCTGGTACCCTGTGTCCTCTGAAAGAGGAGCATTCAGCCTAATGTAGGCTCACCAGCAATAAAAGTAATTTCATCTAACCCAGACTCCATGTGAAAGGGCGAGGACGGGTGTGGGGTGGGGAAGGCAGTGGGAGGGGTAAGCATGATGGAGCCTGGAATGGGTTAAATGGCAAACGGTTCTCACTTTTCACTGAATCCCGGGTCTCCTCCACTGGCACGGAGAAGTACCCTCTTGGCCACTTACTGCTTAAACACTTTCCCTGTGGGGACATACATGTAAGCGAAGTTTTGGGAAGGTGGGGTGCTGTGCAGTTTTTTGATGAAAATGCCCAATTACATGTCACCCAGTGCTTTCCCGTTTACTCCTTGACTTCTATCATCCCTTAAAAGTTGAGCTTTACAGGGTTCTTTAGTCAGGCTTGTTTCTAGTCTTCCTGCTTCCGGTGTCTGAGGCTCACTCCGAGGTCTCTCTCAGCAGCCACATACAACCCAGACCATTGGGGTGAGGCGCAGTTGAAAAGCAATTCAAAAGTAGCCCTTGGTCTACTTACGTTCTCCTGCCAAAAACAAAACACACAAAACACTCATTGTTTTAAAAAACAAATGAGTAACCTCATAGGTTTAGTCTAGGCCACTTAGAATTGAGCATCTCTTACAAACAAAGAGACGGCGTGATGAGCTGACTTCGTAAGTGAAATAAATACAACAGCATTCATAGTCTTCATGTCAATGCATAAAATAATAAAATAAAATAAATAGGATCTAGATGTTTTTAGATTTTTGTTAGGATTTGAATCCAGAAATGTCCCATTGCTGAGAGCTTGGTTGCAAGCTCATGTGTGTGTGTGTGTGTGTGTGTGTGTGTGTGTGTGTGTGTGTGTGTGTCTAAGAATGGGTTAATAAATGGATTAAGTCCTTGATGAATCCATAGTATGTCATCGTTATTGGGAGAAGGTGAAAAGTAGGAGGTGAGGCTTAGTTGGAGATAGGTCACTGGGTGAAGATGGATCTCCAGAAGATGGATGCTTTATTGCCTGTCTGTTTCCTGGCTGCTACGAGGTAAACAGCCTCAGCCAGATATGCCTGCTGCCGTAATCTGCCTCACTTCAGGCCAAAAACTGCCTCCCTAGCCCCCATTAAAAAAATTTAAAAACAAATTATTTCAGCACTATAGCATGAGGAGTTAATTTTATACTTATGCATAATAGAATAAATAACTACAGTGTTAATTCCTCTTAGAAGGTATATATATCATGTCAGTTTCCATGGACTTTGAAATATTCTGGCATATTCAAATGTTCACAACAATTTTGTGGACACTTCCATATCTAGCACAAGCCCGGTCATAATACCAGTGGGCACATCACGGGGAGGGTTATCTACTACTTTTTAAGGAAATGTGCTGTGTGGAAGCCCAGCTGCTTGAAGTAGCCCAAGCTTCTTACTACATGGCCAGGTAGGGCAGAAGTACAGTAGTTTGCTCATGATGTCTTCTGGGGATGCAGATTGCAGCTGGTCTACACATCTGGTGAAGTTGCTGTGGGTGCTGTGACTAGATCTGAGGACTGGCTGAGACACCAGTGGGTACTTCTGGATCAGATGGCACACAAAGATGATGTGCAAGTGAATGAGGGACAACATGTTCTCTTATGTCATCTATGTGACAGAAGTTGCCAAGTGACTCTGCAAGTTTGTTTCTATCATATTAAAAAAAAGAAGCAAACACATGTATCACATGACTATACGTGTGTGGAGGTTAAAGAACACTTTTTAATAGTTGTCTCTTCTTCCACTGTGGGTATCGAATTCAGGTCATCAGGCTTAGTGGCATACATTCTTACCCACTGGGCCATCCTTGGCTCTCTGTCTTGGAACATTTTTAAGGTTTATTTTATGTATTTTTGTCTGCATGTATGTATGTGCACCACATGTATGACTGGTGCCCATAGAAACC